ACCAAAGTCATTGGGAAGGGTTTATGATGGGGATGGTGGAGTACAACAGTGAGACAAACACTGAAGTACTTCATGGAAAATATATTCTGCATTAGCTATTGGAAAAACACTCCAATATGGTTAATGAACCACAACATTTTATTTATGGGAGAATATCAAAAGAGACTTATAAACCATGAGCCCTTGTAAGAATGTGTCTCCAACTCACATTATTACAGACAGTGATATTCTCCTACAAATAATTCGAAGATTTTTCTAATAACTTCTTCGTAGTTTTGGACATTTATGCCCAAGACAAACGACACAAGTTACTAGTCTGTGACACACAGCAATGGTTTTGGGCAATTTGTCAAAAATCGTTTATGCGTGTGTAACTTGTTGGTACAAAGAAAGACCAGCAAATGCAAATGGTTGAAATGCCATCCAGAACTCTCTACCCTTCTCCGAATGCAACGAGTCCAGACAAAGTAAAGACGTCTTTTCTCAGAAGCAGTTTTTTTGGAGACGTCACTTCCTCTTCCTCTTATCAGCACAAACTAGAGATATTTCTCAGATCAGTAGTCTTCTTCAACTAGTATATCTATCCTACAAATTGAAGAACACGCAACCTCCATATCAACCAATATCCATTCATGTCTTCACTGCAACCCATGGGAGATGCTCCGAGAAGAATCGGACTGCAGAGTGGCATCACAAGACAAGGTGAGAGAGAATCAAGCTGAAAGAATGAAACGTTTCTGACTTTATCACAGCAATTAAATGACATCTGTTCTAATGAAGCTTTGACTTTGAGGAGGCTAATTGATTTCTGTTTGCAGGTCAGGGAAGCTGCAGCTCCTTGTATTGCTGTTCATACTGTTTTAAGCAGCATGGAATGGGCAGCCGGCAGAAAATTGAAGGATTCTTTTATTTTCCTGGAAGCATCTCCTTCAAGCCATAAACCAAGTCCCCCCATGGTACAATATTTCAACACCAAGTTCTAGTTCTATAGCCTTACAGGCTTGCTTTTGTTCCAGTCACTATCAATTATTATAGAAGCGGCACTATACAGGAGGTTCTGCAACATGGCTGCTGGAGTCTCAGTTTATCTATTAGTTTAACCAGACACTAGTGTGATGTTATGGTTATTGAAATAGAAGCTTTGAGCTCCGTCCTTAATGGAGTAGTAGTTACTAGTTACCGTTGTTTTGAAAATGTACGATTATTTTTGTATCTTGAAGGACTTAAACCTATCAATGACCTATATCAGTCTGAAACATCCCACCCTTTACCACCAAAAATTGTATCCTTGTAAATATTGCTTTTGTTATTATATCCTTGTGAATGTTGTTTATTTCCAACATTTCAACGATGAATGGAATATTGTGTATTATTTCCTCTCTTTATTTTCGGTCTCACAATGTCTACCTGCTATTGCTCAGTGCAAATATTTTCCTCTTTTCTGGTAATGTAGAACAAATGAATCAGCATCTTCCACCCGAGGACAAAATAACTATGTACTCATCCTCTCTCTCTCCCTTCTGAATTTGAATTCCCTTCTTATTTCGGCTATCCTGAACTTCAGTTCCAAATGGTCCATAGGAAATCTAAGGATTCACTCATTTTCTTTTGGATTTGAGAAATAAAACTCCAAAATATGTTGTAACCTTTGGATTCATAATGGACCACTTGAATTAGAAGCCAATGATAGATAAGAGTAAGACAATAAGATGATCTAGCCTCCTTCTTGCTAGAGTAAGACACATGCTTGATGCATAGCATAGCAGCACATAGTAAGTGTGAATGCTTCTAGTGTATTTGTAAGATAAATATATTCTCTTAATGGTGCTTTGAATTTGATCCACATATTAGAGTCTAAGAATGTGCCCTGCTTTGATTAGAGTCTAGGAATGTGTATTAAACTAAATTTCTAGGATTTTTATTAGAATATTTAATACTAAATATTGACTAAAGAAATAATAATTAAAACATAATCACTAATGAAAGTATTTAAACAAGGCTAAGATATTATTTAATGAATAAAAAAGAAAACTTAAAAAAATGATATTTTAAGAGTACAGCCGAGCGGCCGTACTGTTCCGTTTCAAGAGTATTGCCGCGCGGCTGTACTATTTAAATAGAATTTTGAACGTATAGCCGCACGGCTATACTGTTTAATATTTAAATATGTTTAATTATTATTTCTTTAGTGAATATTTAAATATTTTACTCATTTCATAAATTACTTAATGAATAGTAAATATTATATTTATTTATTTATTTGCAGGAATTTGTTTTAAATTTTTGTTTTCACAAAATTAGTTTGGGCGATTCGAAGTCTCGAACTAAAAACCCGAGCTTCCGAAATTGTTCCCAAACCTTTCTTAAGCCTCGAACCCAAACCATAAGCCCTACTAAGGAGTAGATACTTTCTCTCCTTTTCCAATGTGGTACTCAAGTTCATGTATTTCAATCAAACTCCAACAAGTAGTTGATATTATCGAATCACGTTGTGACTTGGATTTAAGTTCTGAGGCTAAAATCCATTTTTGGAATACTAAAATATTTTGGGTAATAAAACTAAATTTCTAGGATTTTTATTAAAATATTTAATGCTAATTATTCACAAAAGAAATAATAATTAAAATGTAATCTAATGAAAGTATTTAAGCAAGGCTAAGATATTATTTAATGAATAAAAAAGAATATTTTAAAAATGATATTTTAAAAGTATAGCCGACCGGCTATACCCTTTGAATAGCATAATCTTGATTTCTCTTTTTTAATTACTATTTACTTACTGAATAATTGGTATTTAAATATTTATATTTGATTATTTGATTAAGTTAATTAAAGTATTTAATTATTCACTAAAGAAATAATAATTAAATAAGTCTAAGATATTATTTAATTACTAAAAAGAAAATTTATTGGACCTAAAAGATACTAAATTTATATTTATTTTTAAATAAAATCTCTCCCGACAAAATTTTGTCTGCACAGGTGTAGGACTTGCCCTACAAAATTACCTTTGCTGACGAAAGTTCGTTGCAAGAACTCTAATCCGATGACTTTTCGCCGGGATAGACCTTTGCCGACGAACTTTCGTCGGGAGAGGTTCTTTGCCTTTTTTTGAAAATTAAAAAAATTATTATTTTTTTAATTATTATTTATTTAAAACATGTAAAATTTAGTAATTAAATACAATAAAAAAATATTTGTAAAATCATAATTTTTTTAAGCTTTAGGGGAGAGAAAATATTTCAATGAGTGCATGGTAGTTGTCAGTTTATTTTTTGGAATTAGTTTTGAATTTATTATGAATATTACGAATTAAATGAAATATAAAAGTCATATTAAAATGAAATGACAAATGGCATAACCGACGTTGGATCTCTTTACAACGATGTTAAACAACACAAAACGACGTCCTAAATTATTTTAGACGTCGAAAAGAACACAAAACGACGTTATTACGTTACCACGTCATTTTGTTTTGAATCACCGACGTGGGTTATTACGTTAACACGTCATCTTGTTTTATATAACCAACGGTGGATTGTATATACAACGTGTTTTAAAGTTGTTACTGCTGTTGTTTACATATACAACGTCAAATTTTGTAAGATAACCGCCTTTGTATGTCTTTAAGACGTCAATAAGGTTGTACTAACAGACATAGTATATCGGTACAAAATTTTTCCGTACAAGATGAAGTAAATATAAACCGTCGTGTTTATTCATGTTACATGTCGTTTTTAAGAATTGCCGTTGATGTTATATTTCCCGTTATAATAAGATGACCATTGTGTACACATATGAGACGTGTAAATGAGAATGAGACGTTGGTTTTTGGGAATTAAATTAAGTTTTTATGAATTACTGTCCTTTGAATTTATTTAAAGACATAAATATCCTTAACTAAAAAAATTTAATTTTTTTTTATGGTTGTTCGATTGATTACAACAAAAATATTTATGTACATTGTTAATACATTAAAATAAACCTAAACATTGTTAATAAATATTTATGTATATCACTTATCATTATGTAATTGCCTGTTAACGAATTTTGCCCATTCCAACCTAACTTCGTCAATATGTTCTTGTTTATACTAAACTCGATCTTTTTTCTTTTCAAACTACAAAATAAACGAAAACACTGATGTGTTATAAAGATACAAACGACGGTTTTAAAGAAAAGTTGACGTAGTAAAATAAAGAAATTATATCTTAAATTTTGTCTTTTACCTTCTTCTCAAAAGCTAGGTTTGGATCATGAATTATATCTCTCATGAATCGCATCACGTAATAGCCATACTCTACACTTGTTGGTTGTTCAGGAGTGCCTTGTAGAGTTTTCCAAATGTTTGTTTTACGTGATGAATTTTTGTTTAGATGAGAGTTAAACATTTTCATTGACCTGTTTCAAGAAAACAAAGAGTGTTAATGACAAAACGAAAAATCTAAATAAAAAAAAAGTAACCGATGTGGTAAAGCAGTGAAGACGACAGATTTTTAATTTTTTTTTTAAATGACATGGTATTTTATTTCAAACGGCGGTATGAAACTACCGTCATTGTGTAACATTATAACGTCGGTAACCAGGAAAAACGTCGTATAACAAAAAATTGAACAGAAAAAATTAAAACGTCCTTAAATAAAACCCAAACGACGTGGTAGTTTAATTAAGACGATGTTTTCAAGAAAATACTGACGTAATAAATCTTTTCAAACGTCGGTAATAAATTACCGTCGTTGTATTTTCATTATAACGTCGGTATTATAAAAACCCGTTGTATAATTCAAATGCACAGATAAAAAAATCTTAGATTGGAATAAATCAACTTACGTATTCACTATACTTCTCATGTCGTCGTCAACAGAGCGGTTTGGCAGTGAATTCATGTAATGCACAGTCTCCTTTGCTGGCCTCACAATTAACAACACCCAATCACCCCTACTTATAATGATCCATATAGGTTAAATAGTACAAAGAAAAATATTACAAGGAAAATAATTTAAATAATTACGGGGACTAACCCTGGATTATAAGGGACCAAGAAAAATTGATCCCCATCTGCTGTTTTCAGGCGGTCTGACAGTTGTTTTGTTCGGTAAGATAGAGATCCAGATTGAGCGCTGACTTGTCCAGGGTCGACGAGACCAACAAGGTTTACCATATTTGCCATTTTTAAATAGTCAAATAGGTACCTAAATATATGAAATTCAATTAAATGAGATTTTAATTTAAAAGAAAGGGAAATGTAAAACAAAATATAGGATTTCTAGAATTACCTCATGTATATAGCAATCACTGTGACTCCAATCTCAACCATGGAAGCAAACTATAAAATATCTTCACACAAGATGAAGGTATCACGATCAATATGCCAAACACTTCCTTTGTAATGTGAACTTTCACAGTCTCGTTAGCAGGCTGCAACTTGGTCTGGACAAATTGGCATAGGGCTAACAGAGGAGGTGGCATGTCTATCTTTGAGAGATCCTGTTACAAGAAATAAATAAAGAAATATAAGGTAGTTTGTACACCAAGTAAAATAAACGACTCTAACTAAACCAAACAAACTGATGTGGTATATAATATAAACGACGGTTTCTAGAACATACTGACGAAGGAAAGGTTATAGACGACGGTAAAGACATAACCGTCGTTGTGTAAAGGTTCTAATGTCGTCTAATTAAAATGCAATGAATGCTTTAATGAAATAGACGACAGTTTATAAAAGAATGAGACGACGGCAAAAATGACCGTCGTTATTTTCAAGGCATAATAAATGCAAAACAAGTAAAAGCGTCATGTGAATGATTATTTAACTGATTGATATTTTTTTCTGCCAGGTTGTTGACTCACTCAGGCAAGGTTAACATGCAATGGTATTCGTTCATTCTCGAAAGGACACAG